GCTTCGCAAGTTTCGGCGTCGCTTCTTTGGCCCATGCTGCATCCTCCAGGYCGWCGGTTCTGATACGGCATCTAGCCCGGTCAGCTTTCGTGTGAAGCTGCCCGACTACCTACGCCAGGCTCGTGTTCATGATGTCTACCACGTCTCGTTACTGCGTCCTTATCGCCGACCGTCTGAGCGTTTCGCTGGACGACCATACGAGCGCCCTCCACCCATCATGGTGGACAGTTACGAGGAGTTCCTCGTTTCAGACATCATTGGTCGCCGAATCACCGACGACAACCCTCCCCACGTCGAGTATCTCGTACGTTGGAAGGGTTACCCTGATGAGGAGGCTACCTGGGAGCCCCTCGAGCACTTGCAGCACGCTCGCATGTTGGTGCGTGCCTATGACCGTGCTCGCAGTGCTGGGTTCACTGCTCCTCCTCAGCCCACTGACCCTCCTCCTTCCCCTCCGGCTGAGGAGACCGCTGAAGTCGAGCCTGCTCCATCTGAGGCAGACCTTCAGCAGCAGCCGGATGCTTCTGAGCGTCCACAGCGCACTCGTCGTCGTCCTGCTCGATACGACGATTGACTTTGACTTACCTTCCCACGTCTTTGACTTCTCAGTACTCCATCCACATCAGTTTTGCTACTTCAGCTTGTTGACGCTGCGGCTCTTCCTCGACGGCATTCCGGACTTCTCATGGTGGACGTCATCGGCAGCTTCATGGACTTCATCGCGATCAGCTGTGCCTACTTTAGACATCGCCACTCTCTTACCACTCTACCCTGTACAGTACCCTGCTTGTGTCGCATGATGGTCTCCCTTTAGCCGGATTCCTCTGAGTTGGGCTCTCCCTTGGTATACGCATAGGCATCGGGACCGTAGCGTTGCCCTGGCTTCCCATCTTACGGATCTAGCTCCGACTTCCCTCACTTTCGGAGTCATTTGCATGATTCCCTCACCCATCATCTTTCTACCCTTCGCCGTCCCTCACACCCTAGTTAGGCAGCCCCGTATGCTTCATCTAGGTGCGCCCAGTATACCAGGCTCCCCTGTTCCTTTGCATGGTCGACCCTCCATAGCGGTCACCCCTTAGTCGAGCATTACCCGCCCTGATGGTCTATCTGTTAGGGTCATTGGTTCTGTTCGCTCTCAGTTCCCTACCCTCATTGAGCCTGATGACATGTGTCTCCCTGTTATCTATGTGTGGATGCCCTTAGGAGTTTTCGACCCCTAGGCTGCATTCGCCACCCTCAGAGACCATCCCACCTTTTGGTTTGCGACACACTTCTCATGTGACATATGATAGACTTGTTGTTGCTTTGTTGCTCGCAGACTGAGGCTACTGCCTCTGACATCTCTAGGATTTAGTTGTTCTGCTTTTGTTGTTCCTAGGACTTATACACTAGTCAGTTGTTACCAGACTGAGGCTAGTGCCTCCAACATTCTAGGATCTAGTTGTCACTACTTTCTGCTTTCCTAGGACATGTATGCTAGTTAGTTGCTTTTGCTTTCCTAGGACATGTATGTTAGTTAGTTGCTTCTGCCTTCACTTCGGCTGTTAGCTGTGACATTGCTGTTTTGTGACATTTTATATCCTAGGTTGCATCGCATGGACTCAGCATGGAGCTTGCTCCGCATCCTAGAGTACTCAGGTTTTCTTTTCTTTGGTAGAGTTCCACTTCTTGGCGGAAGCATGTTTGTATCTAGGCGATCCATCACAGGCCGAGGATCGTGTAGCGGAGCTCAGGTTGACCTGTGAGACCAGCCCCTTGGCCTGTTCTCACAGGCCTGTGTTGTATTCGGGGTAGGCCAGTCCAGGCCGGTACCTCTGTCGGTACCAGCCAGTCCAGTCCAGTCCCGTCAGTCCGCAAGGGTATACCCCAACCATTGTCTGTTTTCACGCTCATTCTTCACTTGGACATTTTGGAGTACGTGCGTTGGAGCCTTGCGTGGGGAGCTGCGCTGTGCACCTTGCTCCCTCCTTCTTCCTCCATCTCCATCTCTGTCACTAGCGGAGCACCACAGCTGGTGGGTCCGCTACAACATTCTTCCTGTTGGGCTTACTCGTGCGTGCACAAGGCCTTCCCTTCGGTCCGATGGACAAACACCAATGACCCGCGTCTCGTACACGTTGGTCCGTTAACCGAAGATGGATAGTCCTATTGCAAGACACACATCTGATCATCTAGCATGCTTATTTAATTCACACAGAAAAATACCCTGCGTCCAGTTTCATGCATACATAAACAAAAAGAAGGTGACAATCGTTCATGCATCAAGATCGTCCAAAATTCGATCGTAGGCTATTAACTAACCAATGTGGCCCATCCCTATAGAGGGAGGAGCAAGGTGGGAGAAGCAATCATACATCAATCATTAGAGACAAACAAAGAAAAGATTTGAGGTGCCGATCGAAGGAAGCAAAGGCGACTTGCGCCAGATACCAAAATTACTTAAAAGAATGGAAGCGAACATCACCGCAACACATCCCGTCTCTCTCTCTCTCTCTCTCTCTCTCTCTCTCTCTCTCTCTCTCTCTCTCTCTCTCTCTCTCTCTCTCTCTCTC